TCCAATTGGGACAGCCATTTATTATTGTTATTTTTAATTTTTTTTTTTCCTTTTACTGGTTGGTCTTCCCTCCCTCTCTTCCCTCAGCAGCACTATTTTCTTTGGGTCTAGTTGCCATCCTTCGGTTTGAATTAGACACGTTTGAGCTTTAGCCTCGCCTTGCCTTCTTTTCCGCCTTCTTTTGGTCGGTCTGCTAGAAAAGGTTCTGTTTGGGACATCTGGCTTTTGCTGGTGGCTGTTCTCTCCCCGTCTTCTCCTTTCCTGGATGTAGAGTCAGTTCTGCTATTAAAAAGAGACTCGACAATGTTCAGTGGAGAGAAGTTTCAAGGAAGACTCGCTTGTTCCGATTTTAAAATAAATACCTCTTTGCACGGCTAACCGTCTCCTTCTGCGTCTTCCTCCTGCGTGCCGTTCTTCCCTTCCATGCAAGTAACTCTGTGTTCCAAGAAGACTTTTTTATCAACCAGCTGGAGTGCTGTGGAGCTCTGTTTTCTTCCTTCTTCTTGGGGAGCGAGCTGGCTGGGCTCTGCGATTCAGAGAGGGAGCACACCAAGGCGCAAGGACCCTCAGCCAAGACATCCGGGAGAGGATTTTGGACTGCTTGACCCTCTCTAGGAGTGAATGGTTGACTTGGCTCTTCTCTGCCTTTTCTTTTCTTGGGCAAAATGTATGAGCGGCACAAGAGACGATACAGCCTGTGTGAGATTTCCAAGGAAGAGAGGGCTGTAGAGGTGGTGCTGCTGAAGGTATGGCATAGCTTGTGTCCCTGGCTGAGCTGCATCTCTACTTGCATTCCCCCCCCCCTTAAGGTGATCAGGGTCAGATCATGGCTAGTCCTTGCTTGCTTTCCCTCCCTTCCCTTTTCTTGTGAAGGGGGTACTTGATTGTCATCAGGAATCGGTCTCTTTCCAAGGGCAGGATTTGAAACAGAGAGTAGCAGGATGCTACCCAGGACAATACTACCCATGATTATTCAGACGTAAGCTCCAGGAGATACCCAAGGACCCCTGTGTAGGATTTTCAGCCTCCAAAGAGAAAGCATTGGTTAGATTTGTATGGATACATTGCTTCGATGTCTCTAAAATATCTTTTTCATTTTTTAAAAAAATATTTTTTTGAAAGGGTGAATAGTCCTATGCCTAGGAAGTCTGGTACAATAATGTTTACAATGGTGGCAATAAACCAAATGCCATATAATTTTTAAAAAATTCTCTTTCCAGCTGTACATATATTAAGTTTCACACTTTCTTCTTGTCAATTGGCATCCTTTTCTCATGCTAGCTAGGTTTGCAGTTGGTTTCTGCTAATATTTTAATCAGGAAATTGCCTAGCCATATTGATCTTTTCTGTACTATGCATTATACTTTTGATCTCTCTTTTTCTCAAGGAAGCAATATTGTGGAATCTGTGCTCTGCTTCTGCCCCCTTGCAACAACACCATGAGGTGGGCTAGGCCAAGAGGGAACGCTTTTCCCATGTTAAGTTTCTGCCTAAATGATCAGTCATTTGAACCCAAAGTAGTGATCTACTATGTTATGTTGGCCTTTCATAGCTTATGTCCTACTAAATCCATGACCACTGAGTTTCATGGTAGAGAGAAAAGCTGGACCCACATCTTTCATTTTGACTATCATTTGCTTTTTTTTTTTTTTTTGGCATATCCACTTTTGCAGCCTCCTCTGAACATCTCCCCTGCCCTCAGAAAAAAATCTTGGCATTTTAATACCGGCATCCTATTTTGGTAATACAGCAACTTCCTCCCCTCCCACCCACTTTCAAAATCCACCTCCCCATCTCATCCTAACTCAGCACTAAGTGGAGACCCAATAATCCATTCTGCAGCCAAATCAAAACGAGCATGTGGTTTCCTAAGTTCATTTTTGATTGCCTTGTGCAATCCATACACTTTCAGGTGTATGAGGCCCTTAGCTCTCAGGAGAGCTAGATCCTCATCCACAGGTCCACTGTGGATTGTTCTGGCCAAGGGAATGAGTTTTTCCTTTTGCTTTGTGGATGACATTGTAACTCTCCCCAAGTCTTCTTGTAATAATCATCCGCTCTTTCTGCTGGTCCCAGAGTTTTCAGTCTGTGTGTTCTTGTTTGACTTCTTTTCTTATTGAAATCTGGAGTTAGTTGTGCCTTTAAATAGGGTGTGGAGGCGGATACCTCTTTTGGCTAACGGTCCTTGGCATTTTTCCGCTCTCCCCCTTTCCCTGCGTGCACTTTCAAAGCTAAAATTAGGAGCTGCTCCACCAAACAGTAAGGTGGCAGTCTGAGAATGTTTTGTCACTCTTAAGAGCTTTACTTTCCTGGCAGAGAGAACGGCAGTTGGAGGAAAGCAGCCAGCTGAATGGCTCACACAATCTGGCCTGGATGTATTAGAGAAATGGGGAATAGTCTAAAATGGAGGCTGAGGGGGTGGGGTCATACATAGCTTTCCTAGATCTTTCTGAACTCCCAGAATAGCTAGTTTTATGGGATTTAATCAAAGGAAGCAGAGCAGAATCCAAAGATCCGGTTCACCCATTGCACTATGCTCTAAGGTAGATTGATTGGTTTTCATTTAGCACTGTCCTCTGTGTATTCAGCCATTCTGGTTGGCAAACCATAGTTGAGGGTGTTGTGGCTTATTCAGTAAATCATGCTGAACACATGGTGACTTTGCACAAAAGAAGAGAGAAGTTGTCTGGTTGAGCTTGGATTTAGGGAAGTATCATTGTTTGCAAGAAGAGCTCCAGTCTTTGGGTGTGAAAGTATGAATTCTGAACCAAGCTAACCCATACTCTGTTTTTAGAAAAGAGTTTAAACGTGTATGCTCATTGCCATAGGTGTTATGGTCCTACCCTTCTAAATGTTTAACAGTCTTAGGCTCTCAAGCTTTTCACTGCAGCCCTAAGAACAAGCAATGATCTTCCTTGGAAAGAAAGATAAAATTCTGAGAGTTTCTGAGTTTAGAATTCTAAAATTCTAACTTTCTGAGTCTGTGCCTGGGACTCAGCTCTTTCATTTCCATCTTTCTGGAGGGTGGGCGTTGCACAGGTATGGTTGTAAGTTGTATTTGTAAACAGTCACATTGTTAGTCACCAGTGATGAGTAAAGGTGCCTCAAGGCTCTTAGGTAAAGTGGGACAGATGGTCTGGCTTCCTGAAACTGAAGCCCATTGCTTCTTTCTTTGACCTCTAAACGTTGAGTTTGCATTTCTCTGTTCATGACAGAAATTGATCTATCTTATCTCTCGTTCTGTGGAGGACACCCACTTCCTTGCATGGTTGGCTTCCTTAAAACCTTTGCCAGAGCATTTTCAAGACTTCCTAACTCATGGATTATAACTCTGTTTTGCCCTTTTGTCGTTCCAGTTGCCACACTGGAGCTCTTTTGACTAGGGAGTTCCTGATTCATAAATTCTGCATTATGAAGATCAGAGAGCTGAAGTCACTTTTGTCTCATTCACTTTCCCCTGATGCATAACAGTGATTGTGTTCTTATTTGAATGCTGGAACCAGGCATTGCCAATCCAATGCCTTCCAGAAATTTTAGATTCCCACTCCCATGCTTTCTAGCCAAGATGGTCTTGGCGAAGCAATTCTAATTGCATGCCTGTAATGCAGAAGTGGTTAGGTCGCAAAAGTGGCCTTAGGAGTGTCTTCACTCTTCTGGTCTGCTTTAACTGCTGAGTGATGGAGGGAACCTGGATGATGTAGAGTGGTCAGAACAAGATGTGTGCATACAGTAAAAATGGATGGGAAAATGCTATTATTATCTTTCCATATGGGACCTGTAATTGCCACTGCCCTGATAACATTGTCCATATCATACATAGTACTATGAATTCATACATTGCATTAAATCATAATGTAGTTTGGTGCAGTATGTGAACCCAGCTATTATGGTTTGTAAACCATGGTTCATGGCTTGGTGTGGTATGTGAATGGAGCTTTGTGGCTTCTTTTAACCTGGCCTAGGTTAAATTAATCAGGTTTAGCAGACTGAATGAATATAACCACTAGGTTTGGAACCACGCTGGTAAAGCATGTTGTGTTAGAAGTCAAAACTGGGAATTGGGGCACATGGTGCAATGTAGACATAACTTTTGACAAACAGGAAAAAAAGCATGTCCTTTGCACACTGGAAGCTAAATTAAAACATGATTAAAGGAAATGTGGACCCCAGGGTTTAAAAAGGAAATGAAAGTTAAAAATAATCTGCTTCCCCCACCCCTTTTTTGTTCCTTCTGGGTGAAATTACTTGCTATAACTGTATTCGGAAGTTTGAGTCCTCCAAAAGACTTGATTCTTGGCAGGTTTTCAGTTGTCAAAATAAGGCGTGGACTGAGGTGACCCGGGACAGGCCAGAGCACTCAAGCAGTGGCTAGAGAGAGGGCTCTCTTGCACCTCTCCAGGTTAAACAATACCAGGTGATAGGAAAGACTTCAGCCACTTACAGTCCAAGCAGGTGTGAGTCAGGTCAAAGCTGTATTTGGCCTTTGAAAGGCTCTGCCATCCCCAGAAGTTGGTGCCACATTGTGATTTTCAGTGTGATGGGGAGGGGGGGGAATGGATGAAATGCATGATTTGATTATGCACCATTAAGTCGTTGTCGACTCTCAGTGACCACATAGATAGATTTTCTCCATGACAATCTGTTCCTTACTTGGTCTTTCAGGTCTCCCAATGGTGCATCCATCACCACTCTGAGTCCATTCACCTTGCTGCTGGTCGTCTCCCTCCCTCCCTCCACCTTTCCCAGTATTAGAGCCTTCTCCAGAGAGTTAGGTCTTCACATAATGTGTCCGCATGAAATGCATGACAGAAAAGGAATTGTATTGACTCCATTTTTGATTCAGTGTAAAGGAAATATGTATTTTACATAAGACCAGTTACGTTTACTTGATTCATTGGGAGTCTGTGAAGTTTGACCAAGGTGAGATAAGAGCTCATCGATACAGAGGCTGCATGAAAAGATTCCCACCTTAATTTGTCACCTCTCTCCCTTTTCCTTAGATCAACCGTGAAAGCTGGTGTCCTGTCGAGCCTTCTCCAGATTCCTTACTGTTGGAGCAGAAACAGCCTTGCAACTCTGCAGGTAGGAGGAATACTTTTCTCTTTGACGGATAGAAACAAGAAGAATGCTGTGTTATTCCTGAGCTTTACTTTTGGGGAGCTACATGACATGGATCTTTTTATTGGGCTGCAGGAGACTCAGCTGCCAATTCAGCTGTACCCTAGCTACCGATTCAGGGCAGGATCTCGAAAACAGTGTGTTGTGTTTGGGGAATGCAAACTTTGTATGCATAGAATATCTGGGCTGGGTTAAAAAGCATCTGGTTAAACTTCTTGGAGAGCACAATCAAGGTCCTCCAATATAATGCCCTTCAGATACATTTGGACTCCCAACTCCCAAACTGCTATTCCTCCTGTGACATTGCAGCACACCTTAAGAGTATCAGGTAGAGGAAACCTGGGTTATAAAATGCCGTCACTGAAATATAGTTGTGCAAACCACACCTCTTGTTTTAAAAACTTCATCGTACCACGTGAGTCCGTGATAGTTTTGGCTCGCCCTTCTGCTCCTCCCGTATTTCCACCAGTCTCTTGCGTATCTTCTGCCTGCAGTGCGCAGAATGGGCAGCCTTTGGGGGATGAGGAAGCAGAGCAGGGTGCTTAAAGGATGGGGAGCGGGGAGTAAAGACCACAATAAATAAGGTAATGATGTAGATCTTGTACCTGAGCAGGTGAGGATTTTCTGTTTTCCTCTGTTTCTTTTTGGCAGGGGAAGGGTCATTCACTTTTATTGGATTTAGGGCATGCACTATCATTTTCGTTGCTTCCAGCTGACAGGAAAATGGGCCATTATTTTTCAGCAGATCACAATGTTAGGGGACTCCAAGGGTCATAAATTGGGATCTCTGTGTTCTGGGATACAACTTCGGGGTGTCTTCCTTGCCACAAGCAGTGGGAGCGGAAGATGGATTGAAGACATTGGAAGGCCCGTAAGCTGGATTCATTGCTGAGGTTGCCAAAGTTTTGAAGAGGCCCATTTTAACTCCAGGTGAAAAAAATCACCCACAAAGTGCTGGCAGTTCTATTTGTGACCCACGTTCCCATCTCTATCCTAAATGTGCCCTCTGGTGGCTTCATCTGATGGTATTGCTGGCAGGTTATAACACCTTTCTTCATGTAATGCCGTCTTGATTAGTGTGTTTGTCTTGCTATAACTCTCGCTAGGTCACCCTGCCTCCCCTAGAAGGTGACATTTGGCAGGAAATCAGTATTCATCCCCTGTATTAAAATGTGTAACGTTCTTCTATTTCTGTATGAATCTGGTCAAACCACTACTGATTTGTATCACTTCAGATTGTAGGTGGAAGGTGGTTCATATGTTGCTCCAGTGCCTCTTACAAAATTAAGTAAATAAATAAATGCATACATTAAAAAGCTAGCAGGCCAGGATGAAATATCTTTCCTTTCCAAGATGTTAGTTTCCTGTGTAGATTCAGTACTTCTTAGATGTAATGAGGAAGTATCATTGGTCAGTGACAGAGCATTTACTCTGCATATAAAAGGCCTCACATTCACTGCCTGGTAACTAGTTAAAATGAACCAGGTAGCAAGTAATGTCTTGGGAGGTGGCAGCATCCAGCTAATTTGTCTGGCTGGGAAGCTAAGCAAGGTTGGGCCTTGGATGGGAGACCTCCAGGAAATACCAAGGCTAGAGGCTAGACTGAGAAGTTGAAACAAACAACCTGTAAGAAAGTGATGTCAAGCCCAGAAAATTACACGAAGTCTCCAGGAATTGAGTTCTGCTCACAGGGGATTTCACTTATTTTAGTTTACTTGCAGGTAATAGGAAAGTCCCCTACCAGAACCCTGGGGATCTTCTGTCAGTCATAGTAGATAATACTGGATCAGGTCAGCCTTCTCCAACATTGTAACCATCAGATAAGTTTAACTTCAGCTCCCATAATTTTCAAAGGCTGGCTGGGAATTGGGAGCTTTGTTCTCAGCACATCTGGAGTTCCTTTGGGGGAAGGCTGAGCTGGGTAAGAACTTTGGGCTAGTTTGAATTGGAATATAAGAGTTGGCCTGTGTGTAATAATCCCTTTAAATGTTCACCAGAGGGTCCCCTGTGATTGCACTGAGGCAAAAAGTCATCCTCTGTATGTCGGTTTGATTGGTTTGAATATACGTTATTGGGAAATAGAAGCATGCTGGTTTGCGTGCTAATGCTCTGCTTTCTGATTTAAAAACACCCTTTCCAAAATGACATTGGTGACTTTCAGACCCTGGAACCTGTTAAAAAGCTAAAAGCCCTCCAGGCTTGATGTAATCAGCTGACTTACCCATAGAGCAGTTTGACTGAACCATGCAGTGGATGACAAAGCGCCTGTGATGAAAGGAGTTGATTCGTCAGTAGACCCTCGAGGGAAAAGGAGCAATTGATTCCCAAACTGTAAAAGAATTTTGCCTCCTTGATCTGGAGCCTACGGCAAACATTTTTGTTTTCACCTTACAGTCTTGCCTCAAATCTGATTTCCTAAGCTGAGGGTCAAACCTCTAGGATCTCAAGGAGAGGAAATCACAAGAGATGGGGGTGATGGTGTTGTGGCACGGTCTCTACGAACATCAGTGGTGACCAGGGATGTGGCAACATTCCAAGCCCAAAATGATATGTGAGCCAAGATCAGAACAGAACAACTCTTGCTTTTTCAGTTATATTCTGAGTGTTGTAACCCAGGGAATATTAAGAATGTGAAACAAAGCTTCTTCCCTCATTTTCATTTTAAAGCCAGAAAGGTAGGTTGAAATTGTAATCCAAGATGAGTGCTAACGACCAGCCAATCTACAGAAAATTGACAAAGAGAATGATGAAAGAAATTAATATTCCAAGAGTGAATAAGTAATAGGATGCAAAAGGCTGTTGCCTCTGAGCTCAGGACAGAGCTCCCCTCTCTGCCATTTTATATGCATCCTTGAGAGTGATTCATATTTCAACAGCTGATAGTATCACTGAGAATCAGTGAGCATCAAGAAGGAACTCCACTTCCCTCTGTAAAACTCAGTACCACACCTTTCCTACCAAAATGTATGTGTTAATAAGGCAACCTTTGCTGAGAGGGTTTACTTTCCATGTATTGCGACTCTAGTTCCTCAGTTTTCTCAGCCAGATAGCATCAAATTCTGGGATTTGCATCCCAGCACATCTGGAGGTGTCCTCTTTCCAAAAAGCAAGTCTCTTTCCATCCTTCCCAGCCAGAGAATAAGTGTGATGCTCCTTTAGACAGCAAAGAGAATCACGAGCATCATCATTATAGGTTGTGTGTACACATGTGTGAGAGAATGAGAGAGAGGCTGAAAGAAAATGAATACTGACCCAGAAATACCAAATCTCTTTTGCGATTCAGATAGGCATGAGGATCACTTTAAATTATAACTTAGAACATCAGGATTTGCTATCCTGGTTGCCTTCCAGATGTGTCTTAAAGTAAGATGGTGATGGAGAGCTGTAGACTGTAAGTGGAATATAATTCATTTTTGAGGCTTCCTTATATTAAAAAGGCAGGAAGGAGATTCCCATTAGATAGGTAAGAATTAAATCAGCAAGAGATTCTAGCCTATAGTGGCACAACCTGTTGTGCTAAACTTTGTGTGGTTTCCCAAAGCTTGGGATACAAAGTCATTATGAGACTATAGTGTTAAGTTTTCAGGGAGAGAGATATTAAAAACGTGGGAACCATGGTTTTAATGCCTACCAATGCACGTGAAATTAAATATAAGGCTCTACTTACTTGTTTGTTCTGCTACTATCTACTTTTGGGGAGTAAAGTTCCTGAATGATGCTCAAAATCTAGGTATTGCCTTTTTCATTAAATAGCCCTCTCTATAACCCAACACTTTGTCTGCTGACCTGGTTCCTTCTTATAGGGGAGGTTTTAAAAATGTCTGCCGTTTGTTTCACGTTTGTTATAGTGAGCTCCTTGTGCAGATTTATCCTAAAAGCTGGAGTATATAATGATACTGAAATAGATTTTCCCACCTGTATTTGGAAATGGAGGCCAGGCTGTTCTAGCACCCTTTCATTATACTACTTGATTCTGGTTCATGTGCAGGCAAGGGAGATATTTTATTCTGCGGCGTGCCCAGCTCCCATCTTGGCCCTTTTACTGTGCATTAAAGAGGTCCATGGTTTCCTTTCTTCTGCTTTGGAAGGAGTGGTTATAGAGAGGTCAGTCCATAAATTGCATTTTTCAGGAAGTAAATGGCATCTCTGTTGGGAACTTGTCATTCTTCCAGCTTTGTTGTAGTGGCATTCGTGCTGCTGGAGATTTATCGGGCCATCGGAGGAGGTGGAAATAATCTTGGATTGCACAATGTGTGCACACGTAGAGCAAAACAAATGAAAACAGAAAAATAAATCAAGTTTCCCTAGAAAGAAGAGGGAGTGTTTCCAAGGTGGCTTTTGGGTTCAGAAAACTCCCAGCCCTTACGAGATAGCTGTGTACCTAATATCTTTCTTGTTTATTACATTTTACTTTTTCCTACCTCCTTGATTCGTTTGATTTGTTACTTTTCCTTCCTTTTCAGGTCATAACTGATTCTCCAGGCTGGTAGTATTTTCCTTCAGACTGGAACTCTTTCATACGCTTAGGGTTCTTCAACTATGGAGGAATGGCTTGGCCTGTATTGTTTGGACCTGCTTGCACGCTTCCTGCTAAGAGGAAGCCAGGATCAATCAATGGTTTTTCTGATTCTAGTTTGCTCAGTAGACTGAAATTAAAGAAACCACAGCTCCTCTCTTTCAGAGGTTAACCTGGACCCATGATTTGTTTAATCCCGGAGTGAAAGTTTCCTGTCCTCATATGACAACAAGAAGGGGAGGGGAGGAATACCCACAATTTGATATTCCTTGCTCTCTTAGCAAAACACATCCACAAACGTTGTTATGTCTGAACCAGGCCAATATCAGATGTATCTAATTGTGTGTGTGGTTGTGTGCGGAGGGGGCTATTTCTGAGAACGAGCCCGCATCCTCCTGCCTTTAGATTAGTAATGTGATGTCTACCAATGTTAGGGTAATTAGAGGAGAGGGAAGACAGGTTGCCAAATTTGCGGTGCATTTTCAGCACAGGAGTTGATTAATTTTTCTGGAATTAGTGCCTGCCCAGTGGCCAATCTGGAACTTCCTTTTCCATTTTCCATTTCAGTGTTTTGTTACTGTTCTTTTTTTTCCTTTTTGGTACAGAGCTGGCTTGTCCTTCAGCCTGGAATGCAGTGGGACATGCTCTGTTAAGTTGCCAGCTGGATCAGTGGGAATTCTGGCTTGCAGATTGTATGGCTTTTCTCTTTCTCCCTCTTCCCTCCCCTCCCTTTTTTTTTCCTTCTCTCACCTTTTTCTACTTATGGAAAAGAAATGCAGGCTGATGAGGATGGTGCCTCCTCCCTTCTCCTTAACATTATATATCCTAGTGTTTCTCAACGTTGGCAGCTTGAAGGTGTGTGGACTTCAAGCTGCCAAGGTTGAGAAACACTGGGATATCCACTGCAGGCAACTGACTCTTGCAAATTTCATAATAGACTGCCCTTGAGGCCAAAGTCTGAGCTTTGATAGGAAATCTGCCTGTCCAGTTCTTAGAAATGGGTAGTAAGTAAGCAAAACCTCAGGAGGAGCCTGAGAACACTCTCCCCATCTAACAGATTTTATTAAAAGGTTTTTGTGAGTTGCAGCTCACTTCATCAGATGCACAGAGTGGCTAGGCCCTTGGTGTTCATGAACCCTGGCTAGGAGTTCCACAAGATATCACGATTAAAAAAATTTTTTTTTTTAAACTTGGCATACCATGTAATGCTAGCACTCACAGTGGTGGGAATTTTTATGCACCACAACTTAGCTCCTGGCTTGCCATTTTGTTGTTGTTATAAATTTGTAAAACATGGATCGCCTAGGTTAGAAGTGAAGCGTATGGTGAAGGGTTCATATGTCTTGCAGTTTTTATGCAGGAGGTACCTTGAGACCTGAACATTATTTCAAGGGTTCCTCCAGGGTAAAAAGGTTGAGAAAGGCTGGACTGATTTAGGATTTAAATTGGGAGAAGGGAGGGGAAGGGAAGGGAAAGGAAGGGAAGGGAAGACTGGTTGGTCCTGCAGGTTTGGGTTACTTGAGGCCCCCCCTCCTACAATATCTGGAGTAGGTGAGAACCTTTTCATAACCCGGTCCAATCTTTCTCTTAAGCAACATTTTTAGATTAAAGACTGCAGGGAATATGTTGGTAAAGTGATGAAGTCACCATCAGAGTGTTTGATCCTTTTTATGGTGGGAGATGTTAAAAAGAAGAGCAGGTCATATGCTTAATGTATCCAGTTTCTTTGGTTTGGTTTAAACCAACTAGTGTTTGGTTTAATTTTGTCAGCATGATCTTGGGAGAGGTAGGGGCACAGAGGCTGTAAAAAAAAAATGGGGGGGGGACTTATTGGTGATTCAAAGTCAGTCACTATCTTTCAGTCCAGTCTTCCTCTGAAGGTTGACATTCACAGTTCAAAAATGAAACAGGGAGTTCTTATTTACACACCTTTATCTTCTGGAGGAAACACTGGGTGTAAAATAATTCTGTTTATAAGTAAATAAACGTGACTAACAGAACAGACCTATCTTAATGGCTGGAACATCTTGCGGGTGGAAGGAGAGAGGGTAAAATGCAGTTCCTTAATAACATTTGGCATGTTTTCCTTTTTCTACCGCCTTAAAACAGTTGAAAATAGAATAATAATGGAAAAAAAATGACAGCTGCAGAATAAGAAAAAGGTTATGGAAAGTTTTGCACATTTTATCCAGGTCACCCAAAAAATTAATCTTTTTTCCCCCTTTTCTTTCAGGGTTTAAATGTCCTGGATATAGACATTTACACTGCATTTTTATTGTATTTTTTGGCAGAGAAAATTATTTGACATATGTTGCAGGATTGATGGAAGAATTACTGACTGAATAGATGAGAAATGCTGTGAAAGCTAGAAAATGCTATGGAAACACTAAGGAGTCATAAGAATTAAAAACTTCTTAGGCAAGGGCTCCTTAGGTTCTTGGGTCAGTAAGGCTGGGTGTCCAGTCCTGTTATTCATCAGGGTACATAGTTGCCTGGTTTCCTCTTCTGATGACCTCCACCCAGGTTTTCCTCTCTATTGGTAGACTGAGCCCTTGTCCCTTGTGCTCTGGACTAGACTGCTATCTTCAGGTGAGGACACGAAAGATGCTGCTCTGTTGTTTGTTTAAACAGAGCCCATCCACCAGTCCACATGGTGTCAGTCAGTGAAATGGAGCTATATCCTGTGTCATTCACCTGGGATTCCCCAATAACTTGAGATGCCCTCTAGTTCATGGTTGACCACATCTTCGTTTATATCTTAGCATTTATGCCACAGTGTCTCCGGCTCTGATTGAATTTGAAATCTCCGATTATATCCTACATACATGCGTACATACATACATACATACATACATGTATTTTAAATTTTTCTTCTTCCAGAAAGTGATAATTTTCTAGAAGACCGATTAAGTGGCGACGGCGCCTCATCACAAGGCATCCTTAAGAGAGGATCTGGGAGTGAATCCGAACTCTTTCCTTTCTCCAGGGATGGACTGGATGAGGTGGACTTTAGAAAGGTAAGATGAGAATTGGCCCAATAGATCTACTGAAGCTCTTCTACGGATGTTTCTTTCTTTGGCTGCAAAGTCATATGATCATTAGCATCTTTTGTCGTTTGGCTCTTCTGCACAACAGCCTTAAGCTGCTTGTCTCCTGTGCTGATACTGGCTAGAAATGAAGTCAGCTTAAGAAATCACTGTCTAGATTTCAAACTTTAGCAGGAATGCTGACCAGGTGTTTTAGCCAGACAGGTAGCTGTCCAAGGTTTATTGGAGAGAGTGGCTGTAATAAATTTAATTAAATAATAATAATAGGAGTATCCATAGCCCCTGTTTGGGGGATTCCCTTGCTTCTTTACACTTCCCTTGATGGAGAGCAAGAAAAAATAGGTGTAAGTTGCCTTTGTGATGGGTTCGAGGTATGTTGAGGATGACATTGTAGATTCAGGGCCCCCAAAATCAGTAAAAACCAGGGCAAGCAGGACATGCAGATGTACCCACTGACTGATGAATCTTTCCAATGTAGACTGACATAGGACTCCAGTATGAAAAAATGATTTTAAAGAGAGAGAACTCCTCCAACTTACAAATGTTTACATTTAATCACAATAAAGTCTATAGTGTAATTCGCCTTGCGATGATGAGACTGGATTCAGGCAGCTGGACTACCCCACAAGTGTTTTTGATTTCGTTGCCCACAATCCCCAGCTAGTAGGAGACTGGCTGATGGTGATGGGTTTTGAAGTCCCAACCCATCCAAGTTGAGATTATTTTTTTGCTCTGAAGTTATTCAGGGCTCTTCCAGTGCTGCTGAATCCATGCCTGATGCTGGCTGTTGAAATCCAGCATACTCAGAGGGCACTGTTGCAAAAGACTGGATTAAGGGAGGGGAGACCCACACGTAACATTTTGGGGGAGGAATACAGTACATGGGAAAGGGATGCAAAGTGGGAGAACTTGTGTCACGGTTGTGCTCAGGACCAGGCCTATCTGTCTGATTAAGGATAGGGCAGCGTTTTGAGCAGTTTTTCCTCCCTTTTTCAATGGTGCCAATCTTAGTTTAGAACTCACCCTACAGTTTTCATGTTTCCTGTTCAAAATGGCAGAAATCTGTGGCCCTGATTTTCAGCTGTTGAGATTGAAGTGGTTGCAGGGGGCAGAAAAATGGATTTGGGGGGCTGCTCCTGGTTTAGAGTCCCAGGTTCCCCACCTTTGCACTAAGCATCCCCAAGGCAGTGCCTGAATGCAAGATCCCATTGGTTATCCTGGAAATCTCCTTCTGAATTTTCTCTTTTCTCAAGCTAAACGTTCACTGCAACAGGCCTATGTTGCAACAGTGGCCCATCTAAATGAATCATGCAGTCTGAAGTCGTTTCCTGCAGTCTGTTTTCAGACTCCCCTGATAAATAGGCCACTTTCCCTGCTGGATCTTCTGAGGATCTGAATACTTCAACCATTGAGTATTTTGCCCAGCTCAGGACTCTCTAGATATGTTGACAATACAGGCTGCATCGTTCCCAGTCAGCAGCATCCTTTAAAAGAAAAGAGAATCCTGGTAAATTAGGGGCCACCCTTGCTTTCTGATCCCAGCTAAGCTGCTGCAGTTCTGGCCAGGAGGAAAAACTATTCTGGATGCAAGTCTGGAGGGAAAAGCACTTTCCCAATTCCTTTGGCCTTGCGTACAAATCTAGGGAGTGCCTAAGAAAAGGGTGAGGCGTTGAAAGGAACAGGAATTTTTGCCTATAAAGTTCTGGCTTTGTTTTCTGAATATTATTATTACCCTTATTATGCAATTTAGAACCCCATCCCCAAATAAAAGAAGACGTTGTTATAGTAGCCTCTGGTGCAGGCATGATCTTGTGTTCCTTTCTTCAGAGAAACACTTTTATATAACATCTGTGTAACTTAGCATTGACAAATAAAAAGGAAGTTGTTGAGAACTTGATTATTTTGAGCCCAGTATTGAAGCCAGATGGGGGAACATTTGCAAAGCAATTTTTGCTGCATTGTCTCCTTGATTAACATGCTGGGAAGCAGAGATGTTCTGCCATTGTGCTTGGCTAAAAAGGGCTGACCAAGACAAGAGTCACCATGCCAGATGCATCAACTGTCTGTTCCTGTCAGACCAGGGCTATGAGGGCAGGATTGAAACTTCCTCTGCAAATGACCTCATCCGAAGAGTAGGGAGCCAGAATGCAACAGGGCTTGCAGCACAGCTGGTGGACACATGGGAATTTCAAGTTTTTCCCCATTGTACAAAAAGCAAGCATAATCTCATCCCTGAATCCTCATTGATGGAGCAAAGAGGAGAATGCTGGGAGGCGCTTTTAACTGGAGGCGCTTACAGTTGCAGGAAGGATGCCTGTCCCTTGTTCTGGGAGGTGTTTGAAGAAAGCATCTGTTTCCTAGTATGTAAAGAAAAAGAAAAATGTCAAGCTCTAGGCATTGAAATTTGGAAAATACTACTCTGTGTGTCTAGCGTACCCTGCTTCATTTGCTTTGGAATAAAAGTGTCACTGCCTTGCTGGAGATTCCCGTTTTAATTTGGATTTAAGTAAACTGGTTCCAGAAGAACTAAGATAGATCCCATTGTTTTTTTCCAGCCAGCTGATCTGTTGCCATCTTAGAGCAAACCTCAGCTTTTGTGGCACATCAAGAAGGAAGGAGTTTGCATGGAGGTCTCTAGTAGCCCATCTTTGGCATATTTCTACTTGGACCACCATGGGCCTTGAACTTGGGCAAACTAGGCAGGTCAAGTTGTGTAGCTGAAGGTCCTCTCTTGGACAGGATAAGGAACCAGTGGTCCTCTACACATTGCTGCACTTCAGATTCCAACATCCCTCCCCATTGGCTTTACAGGATTAGTCTGCTGGGAACTGTCGTTCAGCACATACACAACCCCTCCCCCCCAGCCCAACACACAGTTCAGTGTGCTCAGTGTAAGTTCACCTGCTTCTTCACTGTGGTGTCATGGAAAACTCCTGGATTGAAAAATATACCAGTGTTAATGTTGGGCTTGTGACCCATCAACCACCTTGTGATGTCATGAGATAGCAGTCTTGTGCTGCACCCCTCCCCCCCACAAATCCTCATCACTTTTGGATTCAAATATACTTTAGAGGATTTCTGTGCAGAGTTAAAGATTTGGAAGGAGGATGTACGGAGATCACTTCTTCTTTACTTAAACATTTAAGTCATTGGCAAGGAACTTGTACATCCCCTTTGGAATTACTGTCCCTGGTGAGATCATCCTTCTTTCCTGAGTTCAGTTTCATTGTGATGTGAGGTTTAATGAAGCACAAACTGGTTCATGCAAGGAATGAGTGTCCAGATTTAGAGCTTATAGAATCCAGGATAGCGAGGGACAGTGTTCTTACTTATGTAAGCAAGAAGCAAAACACGCAACAGCTCTTTATATAAGAAATAAGGTCACTGGGGAAAGTTTGTCTGCTGTGTCTGCTATTTCCTTGGGGAATTGTTGCAAATCTTTTGAAAAGACATGCTTAGCTTGGGCTTCTGTGTTAGACTAGTACGTAGATTACCTTGGGATCACCACGGTTTGAGTAGAGTGGCCTGCATACAGCTGTTAACAATCCAGTCCTGGTTCAGCAAGGTATGATGAATTGGACAAACGTTTATGGCCTAGGGACTTGGCTCTGCTGTCTGAACCAAGCATTATAATAAGTGTCAGAGGCTATGGCAAAAGCTTTTCCCACTCAGAGCTGTTGTGGCTTCTGTGACTGTAAGAAAAGGAAGAGGAAGAGCCTCGAGTAGCATGAAGAGCTTCTTGGAATTATCCCTTCCTATCTCTAGATTCAGTCCTTGCACAGCTAATTGCTAGTTTTATCCAGCAGTGATTCTGGTAACAGATAGGGCTCCTGCTATGCAAGACCTGAATTCCTCTCTCTGGTTTGGCCTCCCACTAGATGCACTTAGAACTGGGACTGGGAGAAGTGTAGCTCCCCTTGGAGTGACCCCTTTGCTTTGAAACCATCTTTTATTTTTTTTCAGACCAGCAATGAGCTTGCCATTTGAGTATTTGCCATTTGAGTTTTGTTTCCCCCTCCCCCTCTTTTGTTTGTTTTCCGATTGGATTCTTGTTTATTTTTGTAATTTGGATGGTTTTTTTTAAAAAAAATAAAAAAAATGTATGAGTATTGTATCAAAATAAATAATGTTAAAATCTTGATGGAGCCAGGACAAAAACTCCATCTGATGTATTTGACTTTAAATCAGATGGAATCATGTCTTGGTCTACGGGCTAAGATCAAATGCCATGTTGATGGAGAGATTAAATTTTAAATTAAAACGTAATTTCAAAATTACATTTAAAATTAAATGTTTGCGTTTAATGAAAAGTAAAAGCCACTACTTTAAATACATTTAATATCAAACAATTCACACGATCATACTTATGTATTTAATAAGCTTCCCCTTCTGTCACATTAAAAGTTACAGTGAGGTGATCACCTTGGAAGAAACCTACTTACACATAATCTGTAATGGTATGTGGGAAAGACCTTGGGAGACTGGGCTAAGAGACATTGCCAAGGGAATGGTCAGATAAGAGACAGCATAGCCCGCAGCTGGACAGTGGGCAGGGCATGAGACTCAGAAGGGACCCTCCCTAGTTTCTTGGGCTGTAAAGGAGACGGGGGGAGAAATGTACTTTCACACTTGCAAGTTTGATGTCCGTGTTACCAAGTAGACCAGACAGAAAACACGACCAGATGAGCTAATTCTACTTTATTTTAAAGCTACATTAACAGAAACTTGCAAGTTTGAAAGTACAATCCTCCCCACCCCTGTCTCCTTTACAGCCTGAGAAATTGGGGGGGGGGGTCTCTTCTGAGTCTCTTGCCCCACCCACTATCCAACTGCAGGCAATGCTGTCTCTTATCTGACCGTTCGCTTGGCAGCATCTCTTGGCCCAATCTCCTAAGGTCTTTCCCAAATATCGTTACAATATCTGAAATAAATGTGGTATTATTACTACTACTACTGCTATCATTACCATTACTATTATATTATTGCAACCCCAAAGCAGCCTGAAGAGGAGCAATCAGTCGGACACAGTACAAGTTCAACCTCTTCAGTGGATGATACGATATCGCTGGAAAGGAATTCTTCCATTGGTAGTAACCTTTCTGTTCCTCGGACTCCTGGCCTCCTTGGGCCCCAGGAGAGGTACAGTCCAGACGGCAGCTGCTTCAACATGGCGGCGAGTGGAGAGGATCAAGATGGCATGGCAGCAGTCTCTGGAGAGCTGGACGAATTGCTGGATAGTGTCACGGAGGTGTCCCCACCTTCTGGCCTGCGGAACTCTTTGAGGCCGTTGTCTCCTTTCCGTCGACATAGCTGGGGCCCAGGGAAGAACAGTAGCAACAGCGAAGCAGAGATCAACCACAGGAGGTAAGCCAAATGGGTTCTTGGAAGGGGCTGATCATCCATGCCTAAGGAAATGTGGGGTTTACAAGATGCCAGAAGGAAAGAGATGGGAAGGAGAAGTCATGTTCAACCACAGGATCAAAGCATGAGATCCAAATGGGAAATATTGGAGGCTGAAGACAGCTTATCTGTCATGCTCTGGGTGTTTTGGATCCCTCTAATTGGAACTTCCTCACCAGCTCATACCGCTGGAAACTTCAAGATAGGGCTAAGCAACTTGATCCTCTCCTGGTGTTTTGGACTCCAATCCCATTTACCCTATCCAGTAGCCATGGGTAGTGGGAGTTATGAGTGTGCATGTCCTAGGCTGTTAGTTTCTGACATAACCTCGGAGCTTCCATTTTACTAAGGTAAAAAGCAGAGGGTGAAAACCAAAGCAGGACCGTCCAATCAACTAAGTCTTCTTTGGGCTACTCTGTAGATTGGGAAGTCAGGATCTTGGAGAAATCTGAAGGATTGGGGTCTGTGTTTTGTTTTGCAATAGGTTAGCACAGTTGCCCTTCTCCAATTGATTAGGAATGATCATTTAAAAGAGGGTGTTCCGTCCCTTTTTCCCTTTATGTCTGAAGGCAGAGACCTCCTTTGTTTTAGCTGAATTGCAAATGCAGTCCTTTCAGCCAAAAAGTAGAGTGAGCCTATTCAAATAAGTATTGTTGTTCTTCTCTTCTTTGCTAAAAAAAAAAAGGGGGGGGGCTGGTGCTTTTTCCACACATCAAAAGCAAACTGGCAGCCTTTTTTCTTGGGTTTGTGCTTTAAAGTTCACACCAACATGAGTAAAACTTTTTTATTCTAAGTCAAAGCTTATGAGCCATTTGAGAGAGCCGACTGAATGATCGAAAGACATCTTCTCTTTCTTTATGGAGAAAGCAGTGTCACCATGGCCTGGGAGGATTTTTGAATTTTCCTTGATGTTTCATACTCTGTGACAAGAGTTTAAGTAATTATCATGACTCAGGTTATTGTACACAATGACTCACCCTCATCTGTAGTGTGTTTGTGGAGGGGAGTGGGGATGACGGACAAGTTAGAGGTGAAAAATAATGCTTTGAGATGAAGTGGCTTTCAAGGAGGTTCGGCCAAGTTCTTACATTGATGATTTGAGTTGAGGAAGGAGGAGCATCTCCTGCAACATAAATATAACTTTGGTGCCACAGCCGTAGCGCTTTTCATTGCTGTTAGTAGAATGAAATTTGAAGATTGCCCTACATTATCCCCTTTGGCTGCAAGTGGACAGATTGCTTTCCTGAATATTCCTCACAGTGATAGGGTGATATGGAGAGAGAGCTTCCCTCTACTCTGCAAAATAGCATATTGGCAAAAAGTTACTTTAAACTTTGGGAAGCTCTGCATTCCCACCCATATATGCAAGCCCACCATAAGTTGATGTCCCCTAGTTGCATGGGATCAACTTCCCTATGAGTTTGGGTGATGTCCACAATGTCTGCAGAACTAGTGGTCTTGTTTTGCATAAATAAGCCAGCATGCTATTGTGGTTAGGGTGCTGCTAACCTAGCCAATCTAGCTTCTACCTTGGGAGCTCATTGGGTGACTTTGGGCCCTCTCTACCTCACAGGGTAGTTGCTATGAGGAAAAATAATAGGAGGAGGGAGTGCTAAGTATGCTGCCTTGAGCTCCTGAATGAAAAGATGGAATATAAATTTAACAAATGAATTCAATATCAGTTACTCATGTTGTGTAACTCTGGATTGGGCAATCAGTATGGGAAATGATCTTGGTAAGTCTTTGTGCCCTGATAGTGCTAATATGTTTAAGCTGAGCCAAGGACAACTTAGTTCTTGCTTCTTGGCCATGGATGGCACTGTGAACTTGCATGGTAAGACTATGTTTCTCATGCCTAACAGACCACTGTTCCTACCCTTTTGCCACCATGTCATTTTTCTCCACTCCCTTTAATCACCCATCCTATCCTTCAGCATTTCCCCTTTGGATTCTCCCCACCAACCCTTTCTCCTCCTCTGTCTCTGTCTGGAGATTTCTGATTGGTTAATGATGTTGCTGATAATTCTCCATGATTCATTTTCAGTTCAGTGCGACTGCTGGGGGAAGTTGTAAGGAAGGCTCCTTCCCATAGAAGAAGGTACAGCACAGATATGCTGAGGCTGACTAACCATGTTGCATTTCAGTGGCGACTAACTTCCTGCTTTTGTGTTAATCACTGTTAGCTCAGCCTTCCCCAATCTGGTTCCTCTTGATGTGTTAGACTTCAGCTCCCATAGTCCCCAACTGGCAGAGATTGGGCTATGGTTGCTGGAGGTTGTGGGCACAAATGTGCAACATATTGGGAGGGAACCAGACTGGGAAAAGCTAGTTTAGAATTCAACCATAAGCTTCTTTTTAGGGGGTTCAGTGGAGCACTGGAGGAGTGGGCTCATCCAAAATATAGTTCACTGTTTGAAATGATCAGATGGATGAATACTTTTAATACAAAGTAGTAAAATTAATTTATTAAAATATATAACTACCTAAAGCACCATCTCACTATTTTGGGGTCCCTCATATGTTCTTCTTTACCGGTGGGCAGAAGAGAGAGATTTTGGTGGGCAAAGAAATATGGAAAGAAAATTACACTTTTGTAGGATGCACTGAGATGGGGGACAGTTAAATATTCTTCTCTCAGGCCTCCCACTCTTCTTAACACATGTTTTTGATCAGTCTGTGTGTCTGTCTTTCTCTCATTCATTCATTCATTCATTCTTCATTGTATGTCATTTTTTGTAGAATTGGCTTGTTGGTACATAATCTTTCCAGTCTTCTTCAACATTGCTTTAGAAATTTAATAACAAGCCTTGTAACATCTTCCTTCATCCCCTTATGCTTAGACTTCACATGACCCACTTAATCAAATCAGTTAAAAATGTTTGGCTGCATTTGCACATTATGCTAAGGTTGGTTACTTTGTGGCTGAAAGCATTACAAGAACCAGTCTGTTTGGTTAGGTTATGGTACATGTGCAAATTCAGAAAATGAGTTAATTGAGTAACTAGGTTAAGTGTGTTGTTTGAATGTAGCCAGTGAGTTACTTCCTGCCTCTGGTAAATCATAGTTTTCTTTTACAGACAAATCAACAAATGCTACCTTGCATTTACCCTACAAACCAGGATTATGGATAAATGCTAGTTTGCAGGATTGGTTTTGGCAGTTAGCACAAACCATAGTATATTCAGTGCTCAGAGTAACTGTGGTTTCTTATCAGGAATAACTCATTGACTCTTAAACTATGAAGAAAACCTGGGAAGCATGTAGGCACCAAGCTTGTTCCCACCTTTCTAAACCATTCCATGGTTTGGAGGATTCATTACACTGCATATGAAATGGCTGGGAATCTCTATTTATTAAACTGGTCTTGTTTAATAGACAAAAATAAACCAGGTTAAAACAGTTAATGATTATATAATAATACCCAGACTTGAAAGAAGTGAAATTGATTAGCAAAATACTTAACATCCCTGATATAACCATTTTTTTTTAAGGACCATAGTACATATTTTCCGTAAAGAACAAACAAATATCAAGAAATTAATAAGCAAACAAAAAGAAGGAAAAAACAAACCACCTCCTTGGAAATAAAAAGAAAATGTTTTTGTTCCTGGCTCTTTTGTTTCTTTCGGTGTCCTCTGAGTTTTCCCTCCACCCTCCAATTTATGTTTAAACAAGAAGCTTTAGGCAATCTTTTGATATTTCAAAAACTTCAGTAGGCCTAATTCTGCCAAAATTAATAGAGCATCCAATGCTTGAATGGTGATTTTGCAAAACCAAACAACAAAACCAAAACAAAACAAAAAAGCCACACATTTCTGGAGCTAATGACAGCACTTAGTTATTTATTATGTTTTTGCCCTTGAAACTTCTGTTTTGCGTATTTAAGAAGTTGGTGAGCTTTTAAATGCTATGACGAAGCAGGAAGAGTTTGGTATACACTGAGGAGCTCAATCTCTTTCTGTCTTGTGCCTTCCAGATGTACAGAACCATGACTCCCATCCCTAGATCTTGCTAGCTGGAGAGGATGGGAGCTGTAGTGCAGCAGATCCAGAGGCAACCAAGTTGAGAAAAGCTGATACTATATTTAAGATAGAAATAAAAGAAAGTCACTACTGAATCATTAATCCGGTATTTCAGCATAATGCTTCTCCTGGTGCCACCTAGAGGCCTTTTAACTTTCATATAGCCTAGCCATTACAGAACTACTTTTGCTGGTGACATACAGATCTGCAGGCATATTTGAAAATATTCTTCTTACCATTTCCTTCTTTTTGATTTTTTTCTGTTCACAAACTCCATACTTCAGCCATCCCTCTTGGACTTTTTCTCTGTCATTCATTCTTCCTCAGTTTTCCCCTATTGCTGCCTCTCAGAGAGATCTCTTAGCTCAGTCTCTGCCTTCATTTCAATCATACGCCATCTGGTCCATTAGAGTATGAGGTTTTAGTCCCAGCCAAATAATATGCCACTTCATACAAACACTTGCGCTCATGGCCAACATTCGATGGATGGAATCTTCTTTGAGAACTGGAATGTTGATGCATGTTCGGGGGTAGCCAAGCTGCTCAGCCAATAGCTAGGGCTTCCTAACAGACTAGCTTTTAAATCATGGCATAGTGGTAATCCAGGTTCTCTTTGGGGAAAAAATGGGAACCATGTAGGAACATATGTGCACAAAGTGATGGGGGAAAAGGAGGTATAATTCTTTGCAGGGTAGCCAAATTGGCAAACATCTACCCCTCTGATCAGTCAAGTAATGGCAGACCTCTTGCTGTCTCTTACCTTTGTTATTCCCAGTTTGAGCTGGTGTCCCTCTGGTGTCCAGTGCACTGCCATAGATGCTGACTTTAATGGTCGAAGGTAGAGTATCGGTGTGCCGTAGCATCCAAGGGAGCTTCTGCATCTAGCATTGCCAGCTTTTTGTGTGATGTCTGTAGCCTCATTGCATCCGCAATGTATCTGCTAGCTTGGGTGGTGTGCTGTTTCTGAATCAGTTTCTTTGTATTAAGTTTTATACTTTGTGGGTTCCAGAATTTGGCTGCCTGGTATTTGTGGTCACCATGTCCTAGCCCTTCCTTATTACTTGAACTGGAGTACAGAGTCTTGTTTCATGTCACACTAAGCTTGACAAGGTCTCTGGCTGTAACTTAAATGCAATCTTCCGTATCACCAAATCAAAGAAGATGGGTGTCAATTCTTCAGAGCAGGGAAAGGCCTCCTGCCATGCTGAGCAGGGTTTGGGCTTTCTGGAATTAACACAGGTTGCAATGCAACTTGCCAACACCACAGGGCACATGGACTGGTTAAATGGTATAAGATGGGAAGGTCACCTTCTTGGAGAAAAATTGCCCTAGTCATCTGGAAGCCATTTTTGCTCACCATAGGTGACCAAGTGAATAACTGTATTCAGGCCTGTGGCTTCCACTGTAATCTGTTTGTCAGTGGAATGTTTCCTCCTTTACTAGGCTCAGTCTGGGTTTTCAAATTCAGAAGGAAATATGCTTAACAAAGCATATGCATTTCCGTATAATATCAAGTATACAAATGGGGCAAAACCGAAGCCCCACTTAATATTGTGGGGTTTGCATGGGAAGCATTGAAGGTGGAATTATGTCCTGAGGAGTTAATGTAAGAATTAATATTAAAAGGACAAAAGGAACTACAGTACATTATATGGATCTGAAGACAAATATTGCAAGACAGTAAAAACCTATACATGAAAACTGAGTAGGAGTTATCATCATGCATGGAATGACAACATATAATCAATGCAGGTTTCATGGCCAAACATATTTTGACCAAATTACCATTTTTTGTGGCTTCTACCTAACCAGGGGAACAAAAATGTTGCAGCGTAGAATTTTCCTCTTCCATGTTTCAGCCTTTTAGCCATATCCTCTTCTAAGATGTTCCATTCCACTTCCCCTTAGTTCTCCATGTGTTTTAACCCTAAATCAGTCAAATCTTTTGGGCCCACTCAGCATATGTAGTGCCCATTGGGGTATTTTTGCATTCCTGCTCCCCTCCTTTTCTGAAAATCTGTCAGGTAGTCCCATTTTCCTAAATAAGAACCCCAACAGGCTGACTTCGGGAAGACTGCATACATGGAAAGCTTGAAGATTATGGATATTTGTGACATTTGTGCTCTGAATATATTCCAAGTCTTTATATCCTATATCTGTCCCAAATGCTCCCTGAATTGGAGGGAAGCCAGATTGTGTTAGGACACAATCTATTCTAGGCAGCTTCTTCCCAACTAGGCAAAGCAGCAACAACAACACCGTTGCTGAAAAGGTCCCAAGGGAGAACAATGTCTCCTTTAGGATTAAATTGAAACTGGAGAAGTCAGGGAGGATCAAGCAAAAGGATTACTTGGTGAAGTCTTATAATTAAATAAGTGCATAAATGCCACAGTCAAGTCTTGATAATATTTCTGAAATGCTTTCCTTTGGAAAGAATTACTAAAGCAAACTCTCTCATTAAATTGAATGAGAAGGTTGAAAAAATGCAGGTGTATTTCTCTGCTCAGCATTAACTGGAATCCATTTTTAGCAATTCTTGATTAGAGAACTGCTTAAAAAAACCCAGCTAACTCATACTAAAAAGTACTAATAAAGCTCCTCTTGATCCTTTCTTTGCAGCTTTGTACGAAGGTATCTTTCTCATGAAGAGAAAGACCAGATTTATACTTTGTAAAAAGTAGGGCTGTTGACGAAAAGTCCTTGGGTCTGCAAATGTAGGCATAAATAAAATGCAGCAGTGAGTTGCAAAGGAGCTATTGCAGGTGGATTGGGTCCCTCATTCTAACTGTACTAATGTGGTAACATACTAATTAATCAAGGAAACAAGACAGTATTACTTGGGAACTTCCTGCCAAGCTTGCTTAAGCCTCAAGATTTTGTGAGCTAATCCATCAAGAACTGGGAGAAACCTAATGCTTGTAATTTGTCTTCAGTTACAGCTTAGAAGGACTTTCTGGAGAGGCTGATGGTACTACTAAGCCATCCTCAAGTCTTGATGTAGCATCTATGAACACCAAAGATCTTCGGCAGAGTCCTCTAGCAAATGATGAACGAGGATCACTGGTCTCACTCACTGAAGAGGAACAGGAATCAGAGCTAGGAGAAATGAGAAGTCAGGTAAGAAGAAAGGTAATTCCGAGCATACAGTATTCCAGCTTGATCTGCATGGTCTACTAAGCCAGTTGTGGGCAGAAGCAGTTTGCGTCTCTTGATGTAAGAGGGCACTGTTGCTTTTCATAATTTTGTTAGAAGCTGATCCTTGGCTCAGTTTTCACCATCCACTCTCATGATCAATGCTAGGGAGAGTTGAGCAGAAATCTAGCAGTATATTGAAGCCCTTTTAGGCCCACCCAGCTATGGCAGCCTCAAGGTGACCTTGGTTGATCCTGAAAATCTAAGGAGGGTCAGGCCTGCTTAGATGGAAGGCCATTAGGAAATTCCAAAGCTGTAGGCTAGACTGGGAAGTTAAAAAAACAACCGTGAACATCCTGGATGAAGGAAGTGGCAAACCATTTTTGTACCATTCTAGGAAACTGCATAGACATTTCCACAAAGTTACCAAAAGTTGAGTTGGATTCAAAGAAGAATTTACTTTAACTTCTAGGACTAATTTTTTTTGGGGTGGTGGTGGTGGTGTATAGATTTTTTTTCATGGTTAATTTATGTTAAACAAGCTATTTACTTACAAATACCTTCCTCTCCAGGCATGCTATGGTGGACCTGGTTGGCAAGATGCTTTCACGTTGTAGCTAGACTGAGAAAAAGGTTTAAGTGTTCTTTTTTTTTTTTGATGCTGAAGTGGAAGCTAGAAAGGTTGAACTTCAGTTCGATCACTAAGTTCTAGAATGCCTCCTCCTCCTCCTTGCAGTATTCTACCTCTTTTTAACTCAGGATTGCAGAACTCTGACCCCCTTCTGAACCCTGAGAAGACTGAATTTAAGTGTAACAATCCTGCATTTCACAGATTCTCCAAAGACCACAGCCACATGCCTTCAGCTTCTGCACGACTCCCGTTTCTCCTCCATTAACGAAATCCATGTCGCTGATGACCATTGCTCAAGTGGGATCAGACAATAGTGAGTACTTGTAATTTTTTAATTTTTTGTTGCATTTAGCGTTCAATTGTGAGTGTATGAATCACACCTTCTGCTTTTCCTATGCCAGCATAGCTTTGCGCCACTTTGAGATAAATAGCTTGCAGAGAAGGCAAATGTGAAGTTGTCCTGCACTGTATGAATCTTTTGGTCTGCTCTGCCCAGTACTAGTCACTCCAATAAAGCTACCTGGGTTTTTTTTCTCTATTACTCCAGCCTATTTGTTTTTTGAAATGTAGAATGCCCTGGATTAAGCCTGAGACTTACTGTATGCAAAGCATACTACTGAAGTGTTATTCCTTTTCAATGCTCTTCCAAGAAATAAGATTAGTGGTAGAAAGAAGAAGAATAAACTGAATAAATTGAACTCTTGGCATAACCACCTTTGTCACATTTTATGCATTTACAGCAGAAGCAACTGCTTCTTCAGGGAGATATGGAAACCATCTTTAAAGTGCCAGAGACACTCCAAAATGACCAAGCAGACCGCCCCCACTATGACTAATGTTCTCTTCTTGGAAAATGTCTCCTTGATTATTTTACGTCTATCTGGAGTTTTGAGAGAGGTGAAGAACAAACTGTCTCTGCATCTGCCTCATTTTCTAGCGGAAATGACAGTGAGACATGTTTTATAGGATGTTTGTGTGCCCTGGGGCAACGGCAGTGGGTTCTGACTTGTAGTTGTGAAAATTGTGTCTCTGGTGCAGCTTCATTGTTCAACTGTTCTGCCAGTGGTTATGTGGTGTGGCTCAAATGAGACTGGAACAGAATGATTGTGCTCCATGATTACTCCAGTGTCTTAGGGATTCTCTTCCTGTTTCATTCCAATTGGAAATCCAGATTTTATATAATGTGGAGGAATTTTGCCCAGGTGCCATTTCCTTAAATTTCCCCTAAATTTAACTATTACATCACAACTGTAATGATGCCTGTGTAAAAATGAGGGTAGTGATCAAAAATGGGTCAGATTACTTATTTGTTTGTCCTCTTTAGAAGGCCACCCATCTCCATAAAGACTTTAGGCAGTGTGCAACATTAAAAACCATAGGAACAATTAAAAAAAGAACCATGTAGATCCCAAAAAGAAAGCATTCAGACTAACATATAAAAACCTATAAGAGGCTCAACCACCCACTCAAACCAAAGGACTGCAGAAAAAGCCAGGTTTTCAGAGACTTTGAAAATATAGCCAGGATAGAGGCCATACAGAAAACACCTAGAACAAAGTTTTGCAGGGAAAAAAGGTCACTACAGTGAAGATAATATTTTCCCTAGAGGAATAAAAATCCCCCAACACATTCTCAAATTCTGATCTATAGAAATGGGAAACATAGAATTGCAAAATGCAAGGTGGAATTTATTTAGGACCCTCATTGGTGCAGCTCTGATTAGCAGCAGAGTTATGGTAAGATATATATCACCTCCAAAAAATGGATGGATGTTAAAGTTTAATTGAGTTTCAGACAAATTGTGGAATTTAGGCTTGGATTCTGTCCCAACTGAGGCTAAGCAATGTTGACGTTAGGGAATGATCTTAGAACTAAAATAAACTCACACAAAAGCTACAAGCAAGCGATCTAGTGTGATCTAGTGAATCCAGCCTTGGGAATGGTTTAATTTCCAAAGCCTTGCAGTAAGGATCAGTTCAGATCTCTAATAGGATAATTCTTTTCAAACAGAGTGTTGGACAAGAAGCAACAGGATGAGAGAGATTGATGGGAGGAAAGAGAGAAGGAAATATGACAATGACTTTTCCCACTCCTGTGGTCTTATGTATCAAGGACTTACAGTTCCAGATAGATTACTCTCAGCCAAGAAAAGGGGTTGGGGGGGGAGGAGGCTTCTCTTCCTGTTGGCTAAAAGTAAAAAGATCCAGTGAAACTCAGGGGATTCTTGGACCAGTTTTTCCCATATATTCTGACCTGTTTTGAAGGATTATTATGAAGACAGGTGATGATAGTAGAGGAAGAGAACCATGTATGCTATCTGGGGCTCTTTGGTACAATCTTTTAAAAAAGGTCACTAAAAATAAATAACAGAATGAGCACCACATTTTATTTTGGACATAAAGAGTGGGTCCCCAAAGCACTATGCATTTTTAAGAAAAGCATTTTTCTTCCTCTTGGAGGGAAGCCTCTGGATTGGGAGCTTGCCATTGAGAATGTCTCTTCTAACGTTTTTGGAAGATCTGTTTTAGTTCCTCAAGACTTGTGAGTCATAAGGCTGTTGACTAGGTTTTGCTTGTCCCTTAGCAATAGTAACCAAAACACTTGTCCATCCATTAAAATAGACATTTCATCTTCTGTGACCAGAATGTACCAATTTTCTTCCTCCTTCTGAAGCCCCTCATTAAGGGCATATCCGCATACAGGATGGACACACGTATGCTGCAAAGGGCCAGTTGGCATCCCTCTTTTCCAAGTTGCTAAAAAGAGGGAAAGAGAATTTCTCCCTAGAAAACCAGTTTGTCTGAGAAACTGATTATTTTCTCTTTATTATAGGAAACCTCTTTGCAGATGCTTTTCTCCAATTCCCACTCCTTTCCAAAAAAAAATCTCCCTTTTGGAAGCGCTACCAAAGCTCAAATTAATAGCAAGGAAAAAATGGACTCACCAAACATGCAATGAAGATGGAAGTGGCCATTTAATCAACATGGGCCTTGTCAAGTAGAAACTCAAAGTGCTGGAGGGGGCTTATAACTGATAGCCACCCCACAGTACCATCAACTGTTCTGTGCCTTAAAAGTTGATACTATATCTTTGTTCTGTAGAGTCCTTGGTGCTCTCTGAGCTTGGTTGTTTTCTCACAAACGTTTCGTTACCCAGCTAGGTAACCTTCAGATGATGAGCACTGAAGATGCTACCTAGCCAGGTAATGAAATGTTTGCAAGAAAACAGCCAAGCTCAGAGAGCACCAAGGACTCCACAGTTCCACCCTGAGCTACACATATTCTCTTCTATTGATATCTTTGTTCATTTAAAGCATTGCCGATGCTCTTCTTTATCTGATCAGGTGCCAGAGTGGAGTAGGATCTCTGCAGATAATAGTGCAGCAAAAAGGAAAAATTGGCATCATAAAGAACATCAATTTGGCCCAACAGTGCAGAATACTATCTGTGCTTTTAAAAAAAAAAAATTATTAAAGTTTAAAAATACAGAGATAAAAAACGAACACAACCTAAGAAAAATATAAAAAAGGAAAAAAAGGAAAAATAAAAAGTGCAAAGGGAAAAAAAGAAAAAGAGAAGAGGAAAAAAGAAATATAAAAGGAAAAAAGAACATATAAAGACATGACTTCCGCCTGCATTAAGACAAGTACAAACCATTTCAGTAACCGATCACCTTCTCTAACATTTCAACCAAAAATCCCTTCATCCCGTATCTCATCTTTTATCTATTAGTAACTATATATGCTCTTTAAAATTCTTGGTAAATAACAGTATCTTAGCCTGGCCTCTAAATGCTTTTAGATGTAGTCAACACCAGAAGCAGCATTCCATGCTTCTGTCCAATTAAATCTATGCTACATTAAATTGATTAGGACAATTGGTCAGCATTGCCTAGACCAGAAATAGGGTACAATGGAATTTGTGGTTATCAGCTTCCCCACAAGTTTTCCCTTTATTCATGCTATGCTCTTTGCTTAGCTGACTTTAATTAATTAATATTTATTTTACAGCCAAAAGGCCCCAAAATTAGCTGACTTTAAGAGTCAGTCATCAGCTTTTGAAATTAAATTGAAAGATACCAAAAGGGCGGCGGGGGGGGGGAGGAACATGGGTAGCCTCCAGCATGATCTTCATTTGCAGGATTACCTCTGAAGCCCACATAGATGTTCTTAGAAAAATAAACATGGTGAGTGCCTCTGCCCAGAGCTTTGTTTGGAAATGTTCAGGGGGAAAAAAAAGACCAAAGTAAACTGGGGGTCACACAAAGAATCCTGAGGGCAA